AGAAGGGTCTGTCATGTCACCACCCTTGTATATTGTGTTTTGACCCCTTGCTTCCAATTGTTCGGATAGTCTGCGCTGGGGTGGAAGCGGCTGTACAATGAGGAAAGCGGTTCGACCAGTACGGCAGAGCACTCACACAGAAAGCTGAAAGGGATCCCATCCAAGCCAGGCGATTTACCTATCTTCAATTTTGCTGGTTTTCCAGAAATTTCTCTGGTGTAATTTGTATTGGATGTCTGCCAGCGCTGGGAGGATCCTTAGTGTCCACTATTGTACTGCGTGATGAGATGTTGAAAACGAACTCGTACTGAGCTTTCAGCATCCTTGTCCTGCGGTGTAGCGTTGTCCTTGTGTCTGATCAGGTTGCCATTGACAGCCAAGGATTAAGTGAGAGGCAGAGTGCCAAAAGAAGACCTTGGAGTTATCAACAAAGCCACTAGCGTGAGCAAGATGGTAGGCTTGTGTCTAGGCGAACATCTGCTACGGAAGAAGTTTGCACGCTAAGGTACTGTGCTGGCTGGTTACAGTCACAAAGTAGTAAGAAGCTGACCCAGAGGTCTTCCTTATCTTGGGCGAGCAGAAACTACATGTGACGTTTCGGCGCAGAAGCACGCCCTGCAGGAACGTCAGACCTAATGACGCCGCTGCTGTAAGCCGCGACATCGTTACAGTGGTTATCGATCGTGGATGTTTGTGCGGCGAGGGACTAGTCAACTAGAGAGAGATTAGGTTTGGTCGAGTCATAGTCCGCTCAGTGAAATTTCAACCCAGTGGGTACTGCTTTAGTGTTGAGCGTGGCAGTTGCAACCACCCGAAGCATGACAACTACGTGATCACCGGCACCGAGTGGGGCGTTCAGTTTTACGTTGTCAATTAGGTGTGACTCGTTAATAAGCAGCAAGTCGAGTTTCGACTGGTTATGCCTGTTTCGCCCCTGAGTGAATTGCTGTACGTGTTCGGTTAGGTTGTGTTCTGGAACACTGACAAGAAACTCATGGCCGTGCTGGTCGTGAGCCTGGCCAGAGGCAAGACCTAGCTTCGGGGAATTGAAGTCCCCTGTGACGAGTAGGGGAAAACTTAAGTTAGAAGCAATTGCTCAAAGGGCTGCACACCAACGCCACAGCCATTCTGAAGGAGCTAAGAGAGGACAATAGACCCCTCCAGGAGTAAGATTAGTCGCACCAGTACCGCTGAAGCAGATGCGGAGATATACAGCAAGAGCTGGCAGTTCCGGAGCTTTGAGAGGAACGCATGTGAGACGGTCTGATACGTACACAATACGTCTCTGCCGCCGCCGCGTTCACGGTCGTTTCGAAGTAGTACTTGTCCCGGGATAGCTACCTTGGCGTTGACACCTGAGCAGAACAAGGTTTCGGTTACACAGATGACTAGCTTGCGTGTCAAACGCAAGAGCACCGACTTTTGGCACTTGTTACGCAGTGACAGAGCGCCAGTGTACAAGCCGCTTCAAGCGCTAAAATGAACTGCGAGCGATAAGTAATAACAGGGTGCAGTTGGTAGGTCAGTTTGGGTTTGGTTTACGCCGACCCCTCCAGGGACAGCGATTGCTCGCTTTTTGGTAAATCCTTAAGTCGCGTAGTAGGCAGTGCTAATGTGGTTTGACTAGACGGTGTGCGTCCGAATTTGCTTGCGCGCCTTGCGTGGTGTGTCCGGATGTGTCCTGCAGTCGTAGGGAAAGTTGCCGAAAACTCGGACCACCGCTGTAGTACGGTCTGGCGTATGTCGGAAGTGAAAAGGATGGCCCTGAGCAGTTTGGGCGCCGGTAGCTGCAAGAGGTGAGCTGGGATCGGGAGCTGGTGAAAAGACCATGCCTTACAGTTGTCTACTGGTAGGTCCAGCTGCGTTCGAATGCAAATCCGCTGCTGAACCTCATGGTGAGGGACTTCGACCGGGGCATTGGTGTGGAGTTCTGAGACCCCGTTATGATTTTACTGCACGCTGTGTCAGGATTGTAGTAGGTGTTGTTGCTATACGTCCCCACACTAACCAGGGAATGTCTGGCTAAGTATAGCGCAAAATCTGCGCTATATATCCGGTACGAGACTGGATGGCCAACCAAAAGCAATGGGTAGAACCAACAAAAGTAAGCTAGGGAAAAAGTTTATTGGATGAGGGGAGAGTTAGCTAATGCTAAAAATAGGGCACCAGAAGAGAGCTAGCTGGGGATGATGTAGTTCGGCATCGAGTGTGTGGACGGAACCTCGTTCGCAGCAGCGTCGCGCACGCCAAAGGCGGATATCATAGTCGTGTTTCCAACAAAAAGGAACAACCTTTCAGCAGGCAAACCACCTAATTCCCCAAGATATAACAAAGCTATAATTTTAATATATTTTAAAATAATTTACCCACTCATACAGGGAAATCTCCAGGTCACTACACAAGCGCGGATTTTCCAGTACAATTTGTGTAAGCAAGCCGATGCCAGCAGCATTTCCTGGACATCGCCTACACCATCCAGAGTGACCCGCAATGGCTTTGGATGTTTATCGCATGATGAGCGGGGTGCCCGTAGACGGCAGACAGACAGCGACGTGGTGGGCAGTAGTCCAAGGAGTTCAGATCCAGATGGGGCTGGAACGGTAGGGAAATCACTTGAGTGCCGTTTCTTGAGCGGATCGTTGAGCCAGGAAATCATAAGGTGCTAAGAGGTATTGATGGATCTAAACCGAAACACCCAAACCCCACCCTGATCAAACAATTACTGCCATCGTTCCCTGCACTGCACTCCTCGCTGTGTAGGCCACGTGAATTAAGGAGGGTGTAAAAAGAAAATGGGATAAAGAGGAAGCAAAGTCAATTAAATGAGGGATAACACAAAGGAGTGAGGAGAATGACAGCATATGAACGCAAACTTGGAAGATGGATATGGTCGGGAGATAGGAAATAAATAAATAAATAAAAATTTTATTCTCGACTTGCGAGGCACGCCAATTGAGGCATGATCCGGTATGTACAGCTGTACCGACATTTTATGGGAACTGTAGCGACAGTAGAAAATTGTTCATATGCCCATGCTTGGAACTGTGCGATGGTGAACATGCAAAAAACGATTTGGTTGTAGTGGGATCGGGATCCATTTGTTTGGACATAATCGCTCTGCCATATATCGCAGTCATACCTCGACTAATAATAGATAAAGAATCCTGAGTGATCCATTGGAAGATAATTGAAGAGCAAACTATCCAGTATGAAGATTCTAATTGATCTGCCATTGTGAAGTTATGGGCTGTGACTTTATTCTGTGGCGAGTCACATTCGCCACGTTGCAGTGTTGTTAAACGGACATTTGTGGCTTTTTATAGGGAGAACGCTTGCCAGGCGAAAACCCACCAAGTCCTGAAACACTGCCGCCAATCCATTGAATGGCAAGTTGTAACTGGCTATGTTTCTTGTTGAACGTTTTTTGCTCTGTTATTCGCAGTCAAGTTGCGTCCCATTTTTCTGCTGACTGATGCGTTATGCGAGTGGCAATTGCGTGCCTGGGTCCTCTCCTGTGCCAGCTCGATAGGTCAGGAACTAACCATTCTTTCTGGATATGATGTGTTGATCATCTGCAGAACCACGTGGAGTCTTGAAGAATATACGTTGCAATATGTGACGTCTTGGAGGTCTGGATCGGTTCTGAAGAAAGAATAACAGATCCCCCGGGGTATGTAGTGAAATTGATTAGAGATAGGGGAAACCACGGCCATTTGAGCGGTCAAAGCGGATTGAAGAGCTTAGAATGACCGATTGTTCAAGCTTTGTATTGGCAGGAGAATGTGCCTTCCGTAGTCGAAAGTCCTCCAGTCAAGAGACATGTGGAGGAGGTATTGTTAGGTAAATTGAACTCAGTGGTTCATGCCGCAGAAGAATTGTATCGGTGCAAGATATTGATTGATTTGTCCGGTAAGTATGTTGTAAAAAGGTTGATACTTTTCCGCTCGTGTCCAGGTAAAGGAACTGTGTGCCTTGTATTGTTGTCGAAACGGAGGACAATTCCTTGGGTGCGTGTCGCCGTACCTGTGACAGACTCGGGAGAAAAAAGGAAAAGAACAGAGATAGCCACACAGACAGAAGAAAGGAATGCATCTGGAATGCAGTCAATCAATTGCGGCGATGCCTGAACTATTGTACCACTATGCATGTAATTGTTATGTAAATATCGCATATACACGTATATCATAAGTGGCGAAATACGACGAGAATAGAGCAGAACACGAATCAGTAAAGAATGAAAGATTGAAGATGAAGCAGAAGTGTTTGGGGAAGGGTCAGAAAGCAAAAAAGCGTTTAGATGAGACTGGATAAGTCAGCAAGATGAGGCAAGGCAGTCAGATTAGAGTGG